GAAACACGATAGCGGTCAAACACTGTGCGTAACCTCGTGTATTTATCCCCGATAATGGTAAATTCCTGCTGCATTATCGGATGCACAAAGAGAAGCACGGAAGAAGGAAAATGTCTTTTTCGTATTCTGAGTGAAAAGAACCGCTAACAGTGAATTAAACGGCTTTCAAACATCCGCAGAGCAAACGTAGAAGATCCTAACAAACCGTGGACTCCAACAAGTTCAACAACACATCAAGACTCTTGGAGGTTTTCATCTTTTCTGCTGTGAATGGCCCAGGAGTTTCCACCAAGTCATTGTGGATATTGCCAAAGTGAATATTTAGCCAGGTAGTTGGTAGTTCTGACCAGAAATTTGGTTTGGTCCAGGCTCTGTCGGGGTTGAAAAGGGTGATTTGTCCATCGATGCTTATGACCAATTTCTGGTCAAATCGTCTTGGGTGTTCTGCCGTTAGAGTGGATAAATAACCGGGCTCAATACCCTTTACGTGCTTTCTCGCTCCGTCAAAATAATAATAATTCCCCAAATAATTCCCAGCATGCAACGGGCACTTTTGTCAACAATGAAACTCGCCTATAAGAAAAATTATCACAGAACCTAAACCAACAACCATAAATCAGACAAGTTTATACAACAGAACAGTTAAAAGCTCAATTGCAGATAAAATTACAAATCTTTGGAAAGTAGGGTCCAGGGTTCCCACTCTTTTTCACTGACAAAATTTCAAAACATTTCCACAACTTTTTCATGACCTAAAGTGCATTTTGCATGACTTTACGGCACCTACATGTGTAGAATTGATCAGACTTTTAGGTCTAAATATGAAATGTTAACTCGCAGACGCTCGGAAATAATCGTAACAGCATCATGAGAACTTGATGATAACGCTGTAGTTGTGAGAAAGAGATACTAAATTGTAAATTCCATGACTTTTCCAGAACTTTCAGTGAATTTACAAAATTCCATGATGTTTCAAGGACTGAAAAATGACAGGGAATTGTAGGAAACCTGAGAGCCCAATTATTGACTTTCTCAAATTGGAACACTTGGCCCTAATATTTGTTTTATTTTATATTAAAGGGCCTATATGATGCTATTTTCTGATATTCTAATGTTGTTTCCTCGTCACAAACACACCTGGAGTTGTGTTTTGTTTCGTTCACGCATGTTTAACACACAAACTCTGCAGATTTACACTGCGTTCTCTCAAACAGAAAACACTGAACTAAAGGTACAAGGAGCTGTTAACCTGAAAACTACCACTACATGACATCACAAGGTGGAACAGAGCATTTTGAGCTTTGGAGATGTAGACAGACCAATATTAAAGTGTTACTCAAACATGTGTGAATGAAACAAAACACAACTCCAGGTCTGTTTTTGAGGAAGTAACAACATTATAACGTGACTTAAAACTCACAAGAGTCAACGTTGTGTAATGTAGGACCTTTAAAAATATGAATTGATTAACACTGCATGAAGGCAGAGTCTCAGGACATTCTTTTGATGTGAATTGCAGATTTTTTGGGGGGCTTTTAAGGCTACAATAAAATGCATACTTTTGTTAATAATTGTAGAAATAAAACGTCACTTTTTTATCCTAGAATGTGTGCAATTATGAATTATGAATTCTTTTCTACTACTATTTTTTACTATTGTACCTGTATATATATTCATTAAATTCTGTATATAAACCTATTCTATGTATTTTTATGCTTTTTCTTCTCTTTGTTTTAACTTCTGGGTACGGTCAAGCAGAAGTAAACAGCAAGGCCAAAAATTCAAGTTAATGCATCTGATATAAAAATTTATTCAACAGATACATATGTATTTCATCATATCTTGTGTTATTCCATCTTTGAACTGTTGATGAAGGTACATGATTTTTCAAAAAAAATGTATTTAAAGTGATAAAAATTTTCTTGGAAGGACTGACATATTTTATAGAAATAGTTACCTTTCATTTTGAAGTAATATTAAAGTATTCGGAAGAAAAAAGATGACGAATTATGCAAAATCCTGCACCTTCTACTTGTTTGCACAATTTTCCCTCCGTTACTTTTCCCTCCGTTACCATGACCTTTCTTAATAAAAAATATCATTACTCAAAAAGTAAGAGGTCTTTCAACCTAATCTTGTACCATATGGTAGAAAACTATATGAAGCAAATATTCAAACCAGTTTGTTAAGGATATGTAAGTGAGAACCGCTAGTTATCACTGTTTGTATTTATTGCCCAAAAAGTGCTGCATATTTCATTCCCTCTGTTACCATTATCACAGGTTTAACTTTACCCTGTTGGAGTGTTAAATCTTTCCTACATTCTAATATCTTACTTATTTCAATAGTCCCTCTAGTTTCTGAATAAGAGCTATTTGAATGTCAAAAATCTGCCCGTTTCCCTCCGTTTGTCACGCCCCTGCCTGTCCTGAGTCTTCTGTTTGTGGATGTGGGCGGAGTCTGCTGGGAGCACCTGCTGTTCATCTGCAATCAAGCCTGCTACAAAGGCCCAGCTCTCCTGCCAGACTCTGCCAGATTGTTTCGTCTCCTAGATGGTGATCTTCCAGTTGGCTCTGTTTTTGATTTTTCCCTTGCTTTCTGAATACTTACCTGCTCCTTTGAAGACTCCTGCATCCCGGCTACTGGCTCCTCATCTCTCCACCGCCTGTCCACCCTGGCAAATAAATCCTTGTTTCTTTTGCACCACGTCCTTGTTTTGGAGTCTTTTTTGGGTCCACCCCAGTGGTACATAACACCGTTACCACTTGACCGGACCCTTCTCCTCTTCCTCTATCACCTCTTCACCATCTGTAGCCCTGAACCAGATGTACAGAATTATTAATAAATATTTAGTTACATTTCATACAAAAAGAAAGATGTACAAATTCAGATTTTTTTCCCACATATTTTTGTCTTTTTATTCACTCTCCACCGCAGCAGCAGAACCACCAGCCTCCTCAGAATCTCCACATCCTCCTCTCCACCAACAGAGGCTCTACTTCCTCTACTCAAATGCAATATTTATCACAACACTGTTTTACATCGTAGTGGAAAATATTAGGAAATTCTATAAATAGGGTTAGAGAAAAGATTTAGTTTTCACACTGTAGTGCTACTCGAGTAATATTTTGTACGGAAGTAACAGTACTCTTACTTGTTAACGTTTGTGTTTTTTTGTCTCAATTTTGGGTCTCTTCTTTAAAAATACCAAATTATTTAAGTTTTTGTCCTTCCAATTACAATAACTTCAAATTACAAACCAGATATTACATCAGGTCAGCTACTCTTACAGTTACTCTTGAGCAGTGGTGGAAGGTAATCAATTAAAAGTACTAAAGTGCTGTACAGAAGGACACACTTTAAGTATTTACTGTATACATTACTTAAGTGCATTTGAAAGCGGATACTTTTTACTTTTACTTCACAACATTTGAGAGCAGAACTAAAAAGTAAAAGTATTTATAGTAAAAGTATTAAAGTACTATAGTAAAAGTATATAGTATAGTGTAGTAAAGTAGTATAGTAAAAGTAGTTGCTGAAAAGGTTGATAGTTTATTTTTTAACACATTTGTAATTTGAACATTTGAACAAAAATATACAACTACTACTACTACTGGTACTACTACTAATACTGCTACTGCTACTACTGCTACTAAGTAACAAAGTAAAAGTACTAAAGTGCTGTACAGAAGGATAGATTTAAAGTATCTATATACCTATATCTATATTAAGTACATTTTAAAGTGGATACTTTTTACTTCACTACACTTGAGCGCAGGTGTCTGCACTTTCCTACTCGACTACACATTTCGGCAGGACTAAAAAGTCCAAGTATTTATAGTAAAAGTATTATAATTAAGTATTATCGTAAGAGTATACAGTATGTTGTAATATAGTAGTATAGTAAAAGTGGTTGTTGAAAAGGCTGATAGTTTATTTTTAACACGTTTGTAATTTGAACAAACTAAACTATATTACTACTACTACTACAACTACTACTACTACTACTACTACTGCTACTACTGCTGCTGCTGCTACTACTAATAATAAAGCTTTGTTAAAATTACTACATTTGCGGCTTGTGGCTGTGCAAAATACTTTTACTTTTTACTCAAAGTGCATTTTAAACAGGTACTTTAATACTTTACTTTTATGCGTACTTTTACGTTTCTTTCACCACTGCTCGAGTGATTTCTGTTTACATTTTTACACTTTCCTAGACCACAACTTTGTACTTGTACTCATGTTAAAAGTAACAGTACTCTTACTTAAGTACATTTATAACACAAAACATTGTAAACAAATGCAGGAACAATACTTTTCAAATTTATAATAATTTACAAAAATCACAGGGCAGTATTAAACAAGTCAAAAACTATTCACACAGCAGAATAAAAAGTAAAATATGACGCTGCATCATGGCAAGATGAGATACAGTACTTACAAATGTCTTTAAAGTAAATATGACACATCAGAATACTCATTTCACTAAAACATAAAGTAATTATATTTTAAGAGGAGGTATTGTGCAAAATTGAGGTTTAGAGGTTTGTGACATGTTATAACACTGTGCTCCACTGTGTTTTTGATGTAAGTGTGTGAGAAAGAATGAGGGAGAGAGAAAGGAGAGAGAGAAGAGCAAAGAGAGGAGAGAGAAGAGAGGGGGAGAGAAGAGGAGAGAAGAGGAGAAAGGGGAGAGAAGAGAAGGGGAGTGGAAGAGAGGAGAGAGAGGGGAGTGGAGAGAGGGAAGAGAGGGGAGAGAAGAGAGACAGGAGTGGAGAGAGGGAAGAGAGGAGAGAGGAGAGGGAGAGGAGAGAGAAGAGAGAGGAAAGTGGAGAGAGGGGAGAAGAGAGAGGAGAGGAGAGAGAGGGGAGAGAAGAGAGAGGAGAAAGGGGAGTGGAGAGAGGGAAGAGAGGAGAGAAGAGAGAGGGAAGAGAGGAGAGAAGAAAGAGGGAGTGGAGAGAGGGAGAGAAGAGAGAGAGAGAAGAGAGAGGGGAGTGGAGAGAGGGGAGAAGAGAGTGGAAAGAAGAGAGAGGGAAGAGAGGAGAGAAGAGAGGGGAGTGGAGAGAGGGAAGAGAAGAGAGGAGAGAGAAGAGAGAGGGGAGAGGGGAGTGGAGAGAGGAGAGAAGAGAGTGGAAAGAAGAGAGAGGGAAGAGAGGAGAGAAGAGAGAGGGGAGTGGAGAGAGGGAAGAGAGGAGAGAAAAGAGAGAGAGGGAGGAAGAGGGAGGAGGAGGAAGGTGGAGGAGAGAGAGAGGGACAGAGGGAAGAGGGCTAACTCCATACACCTTCACTTGAATCATTTGGATCATTTCAGCCCTGGAATTGCCAAACTTTGAAGTGACCGCCATTGTGTAGCCCCATTAAAACTGCTTCACTCCTCAGCGCACCAGCAGATGTGAGAGATTTTCAATTACAAAGTAGTTTTCAAGTTAACACCTTCCTTTTACCTTTAGTTCAGTCGAGATTGGCAATTCCAGGGCTGAAATTATCCAAATGGTTCTAGTGAAGGTGTATGGAGTTTAAAAACACAGTGGAGCACTTCCTGTATTGCCACATGACATTGCGAGGTGGAACAGAGTGTTTGAGAGAAGCCTAAATATGCAGGGTTTGTGTGTTAAACATGTGTAAATGAACTGCGGATATGTCTGTGATGAGGAAACGCATCTGAAAATTTGCATAATATAAACTTTTTAAAACTACCACTTAATGACATCACAAGGTGGAACGAAGCATTTTGAGCTTGGAGATGCAGACAGCCCAATAATGCAGGATTACTTATATTAAGCATGTGCGAATGAAAAAAAACACAAATCCAGATCTGTTTTTGAGGAGGTAATGACATTATAACATGGCTTAAAGATGCATTATGTAACTTTTTAGTTGTCGTCACCTGCTTGTTTCCATGGAAATATTATCGCTCTGCCTGGAATGTTTCACAGTATGACATTAAACAGCTCTACTTTACATTTATTCAATTACAGGTGGTTTTATAGCTCAATAAATTCCTAAAAAAAATAGAAATTCTGAAGTCGGTTCTTCACACATCTGACCTGTAACTTGGTCTGGTTTGGTCTCCATGGAGATAGAAAGGTTTAATGCCGTACTGTGAAACATTCCAGACAAAGAAATACTGGAAAAGTTACAGGAATTTATTTAATTTGTGTACTTTTAAATATGTTTTAGTGAAATTTATCGTTTTAAGTGTCATATGGACTTGAAAGTTTAAAACATCCCCTTTAAAAGCAGGATGTTTGTGCGTGTGCGTGTGCGTGTGTGGGAGCCTGGTCGTCAGCGTTGCTTCTTGGACGGCCTGTAGAAGCACATGCGCGTGTGGACGGCGCTCTGCAGTTTGGTCGGGAGCAGAGGAACCTGAGTCCGAAGGGAGTCACAGCCCTGGACTGTCCTGGCAATGTAGTCCTCACAAATCCTGCACAGACGGAGCAGAAAGAGGCGGGTTCAGACACACACAGCCAAGAAATATATGCTTTTCCACCACTCAACGCATTTTACATCACGAAACCAGACAAACGCATTCATACATCGATGTAGGGCTGTTAAAAGAATCGAAAATCAGATACTACTTCTGAAGTCCCATTGATAGGATAGAAATTAACCTTTCCTTAATAGTTTTAGAATGATTCAGAGTATCCCCAGGTTTGATTACCCCAAATTTAAGAGTTTTTAAAGACTTTTATAAGACCACTCAAATGAAAATTAAGACCAATATCGCAACCATCATGCGAGTGAAAAACACCAGATCCAATTCTAATAATGACCAAGCAACTACTGTATCCAGAATCTAAGAACCACTGTGGATTAAACCTGCACTTCCCCATGATCCATCCAACGTCTTCCTCCACTCTACTGATTCTTTTCTGGATCTGGCGGCAATGAGTTAAAGTATTGTTTGCGCATACTCCAAATTAGACGTTCATTCACATTACACGTTACACAGTTCACATCCTTTTTTTCCCTCCCTCCATTTAACATTGCACTGTAGCCCGGTTGAGTAAACAAAAAAAATTGGCTAATAAAATTTATGACCTACACATAATTCAAGACTTTTTAAGGCCTTAATTTAGGAACATGAAATTTAAGACCTTTTTAAGACTTTTAAGACCCCGCGGCTGCCCTGTAATCTTGAGCTGTATCAGAACAAGTATAACGTCCATGTACCACTTGTTCTTTTAAATTTCAATTAAGAATGAAAAACAACAAAATTAGAAAACAGTTTGTTATTTAATATTTCAGTTTTAGTGTCAAATAAAAAAACATATTTCGACCTCTATTTCCAATATTTAATTTAAAGTTTATTTCAAATAACACCAATCAAAAATCAGTCTTGGTGCCTATTTCAGTTTTGATATTTTATAATCTCTGGTTTATTTGCCCTGGAAGTTCTGCTGCTCAGCACTGTGTGTGAATTCAGTGTCAACTAAACAAAGGAGAGTTTATCGCCTCGCTGTGACCTGTTTCTTGTCATGGAGTTCATAAATTGCTTTCTACGACGTGAAAGTAAACAGGTCACTATAAAAGAAGAGAACATGTTTGTCTGCAAAAATGCAACGATTTTTCAGGTAAATCCTTCTAGCAGCAGAACGTCCAGGGCAAATAAACCAGAGAGAATAAAATATCAAAACTGAAATAAGCATGATGACTGTTTTTTGATTGGTGTTATTTGAAATAAACTTTAGCCTCCTAGGACCTGGTGTCTTTAAATAAATAAATAAACTTTAAATTAAATATTGAAAATAGATAAAAATGCACTGAAAATACTAAGAAAGTTGAAATGAAGCACGTATTATGAATTTCACTATTAGCTGTGGTTCCTAAATTAACGTGTTACCAACAAATTTGTAAAGAACTGGGGCTGGATCTGTACTTTCAGCATATGAGCCAGGGGATCTGTCTTATCTACCAACGATGTTTTATGTCAGGGGTGGGATTCGAACTGCCGACCTTCTGATCAGAGGATGAGTTCTTACCTGGAGAGGGGATAAGGCTGCGTCTGGAAAACTAAGGCATCGTTACAGTGGCCCTAAAACACACAACACACGAGGATCACTTCAGTACAAAATTCACTTCTTGTCTTTCATTTTAGATTCACACATACAGAAGGTTTCAGAGGAAGTCATCTGGACACTCAGAGGTGGCAGAGTAGTCATAAACTGAGTAACGTTACTTCAGATTAATGTAACTCAAGTACACTTCTGCCTTGGCGTCTTGGATCTTTGCTGCTTCACTGCGAATTTTGCACTCTGAATTTTGACTGTGGAATTTTGAGGGCTTGAAAATAGATGTACTGACTCGGGATGTAACAATAACCCAAATATCATTATATTGTATCGTCAAACGTCTCACAATAATATAGTGGGCTCTGACAATATATCGAATCACAAGTTCCTTTGCCTAAATACCTGGTTTTATAGTAGTAACAGCTTAAGAACATCGGGAACTACATATCCCATGAATCATTTCAGTGCAACATGAAGAGGTATGTTTTTTACTTGAATTCTTGAAATTATGATGGTAATAATTCACACTAAAATCTTTTCAAGGTATTGTAAAAGCTACAACTATATCATCCTCTTCAAAATATCGCAATAAATATCATACAGAGAGATTTGGATATCGTTACATCCCTAGTACTGACTATTTTGAATTTGAATTACATTGAAAAACTGTACTTTAAATTTCTAAATTTAAGCAGCTAAAATTCAGAATAAAAATAATTCAAACATCTTTTTTCAAAAAAATTGAGAGATTCAGCGGTATTTAAAATTCTAAATCTAATGGAACAAATTAACTTCCAGACAGTACCATCAAACTGAAAATGACCACATTGATTTTAAAAAAGTGTACAGATGACTAACTCTGAAACTTCTGAAACCTCTGAAACCTCGGACCACTACTGTAATGATTGAGAGATTACGCCAACATAAAAGACAGTACTACTATTTAACGCTGAAAATCACATTCTATTGTCCAGGTAGTCATCAGGGCATTTCCGCTGATTTGATTAGACTTTTAGTGTGAGATTTCTGTACAAAAGTAGTGTCAAAGCACTTACAGTGTCCACAAGCAGAATATAGTCACAGCTGCCTCCAAACACGATGACATCTGAGTCTCTGCCTGGACACGCCGTGTGCCACAGCCTGAGGACACAGCACGGACGTTAAAATGTGTATGACTTGTTTTTATGGTTGTCTAATTCTCACTTTATTTGGTGGGATAATACTTGTTGTGAATATAAATCATAGTTTTACACCAATCAAGTGTCAGTTTGTGGAAGAAAAGCTAAAAAAAATATGTTTTTTTTTTTAGATCCCCACAAACTTGTCATATTAATCTTATGTCTTAAAGTCCTTTAACCTGACAACAATCACTTCTTTGAGGTTGAATAATGACACCACTTTCTGAAGCTATTGTGAGAAAAGTATTTTTATTTTGTTTGTTTACACTGACAGGGAAGTCACTGAACTTTGTGCCAGTTTTTGTTTCATGTGGATAAGCCCAGTAATTCCAATTTCCAATTTTAATCTGATAGTTCCACAGCAAACTCCACCTCCACCACCAGCTCAGGTTCTCAAGTATATTCAGCTATAGGGATCATTCTGCAGTATTGTGACATCACATGAACAAACAAACATGTTAAAACAAACATGTTCACCTGGGTTTGTTCTTAAATGGATGCTCCACTTCTGTCCACTTCCTGGTTTCAGTGTCAAACACCCAGCCGTCACCTACAGGAACAAAGAAGAAAACATACATATGTATATGTATGTAAATCAGACAGTGCCAAAACAAAAATGGCCTTGGGTTCCATATAAGTGAACTTAGGATCTTTAGATTGCTTTTAAGGTAGATCTGTTTTGCTTTTGTCTGCTCTACAGTTCTACTTAATAAAAGAAACACGTCTTCTGACTTCTGCATTAGAAAACTGAGAGAACAAAGCAGCACATGATGTGGGCCCTTCCTATGGATAGCTGCAGGCTACAGTAGCAAGCCGGGAATTTTTTTCCATTTGGACCAAAACAACTATGCGACCTTGCTGAAACCTACATGTATCACTGATTAAGAAAATAAAACTGGAGAATGAAGTGCATATGTCACAGTGGGCGTGTACCAATGGCAATGAAAACGTGGGTCGATTGGCAAAATGGCATCTTGAAATTAAGTGATTAAAGATGACTCAAACATGCACAAATCACTCCAAATATAACTTCAGAGAGTAAATAAAAAGATAAAACATCTATGGTTAAAAGCTCTGAAAAGTCAGAATAGATCTGCTTTAATTTTAACTATGACAATTTCTCCAAAATAGTACAATGTCACAAGTTTATGTGACATAAGGCCATAATGCCATATGCCTACATCAGAGCACTCTCTGTCAAAACAAAAGAGAAGTAAACAGTGCAGAGTTCTCACTCATGGGGTTACAATCCATACTGAGTCCTCCAAACAGAAACAGGCTGCTGTCTGACACTGGGCTGAGGGAGTGCCACGAGCGCCCCACCGGAGCACAGGACGACGGGACCCTAAAACACAACAGGGACAAAACAAAACACACATTTGTAGAATGACAATGCATGTCCAAACTTTAGACTATATGTAGGTGTAAGGGTGTATGTTTATGTGTATGTGTACGTGGACGTGTATGTGTATGTGGATATGGATATGTTAGCTATGGTAAAGGACCAGTTGTGTTCTGGTGTGTGTATGATGAGCACTCACAGTTCAGTCCATGTGTAAGTCTGCAGGTCCAGACAGTGGATGTCATTGGTCCTGGTCTCCTGCATTTCAAACACAAAGATCAGACTGTACCATTACACACTGTTCACACAAAGTACACACACAGTGCACTGTTCACACAAAGTAAACACACACACAGTATGTACCATGACTCGGCCTCCACAGATGTATCCTCTGGACCCGATGGTGGCACTGGCGTGTGCTGCTCGTGGGGCAGGGGCTCGGCCCTGAGGGGCACAAACAGTTAGTTGGCTTTGGTTCTTTATTCATCACTGTCATTGTTTTCTGTTTACTCACAAAGGTTTGTGGCTGACTCCAGCTCAAGTTTTTTGGGTCAAACACATGCACTTCATTGTTCCATCCCCAGAACACCTCTCCTGCCTGATACAAAGCAGCACATTATCAGCAGTGGTATTATGAACTTTTGTAATAACATCTAACAACAAGCACATACCCACGAGGTTTCATCCACAATGAAGTTCCTGTTGTGGCTGTCCAAGTCACTCAGAACTTTGTGGCCGTATCCTCCAAAGTAAATGATCCTGTAACATATTTTTAGTTGACTGTCTTTCTGTACTCATGCATCTGAAATGAGAATCACTTGAATCTGAATGTTTGGTGCTCACTTTTCATCGTAGACCCAGCAGGAGAGCTTGTCCCTGGGAGAAGGAGGAGCACCAGACTCATGGACAATCTTCTTCCAGGTGAAGATGCCATCAGTCAGATCAAGACTGAACAGCTGCCAGGAGGACACAAGTCAGGTCAGGTTGGTGTATGTTAATCAGGCTGAGTGATGTCTTATCACTGGTGAGATATTATGCTATATTGTACATGGGATGATTTGAAACATTATGAAATGAATAATGAGAAACTGATTGTCCTCTCAGTTGTGGGGGAAGCAAAGATCATGTCTAGAGCGACTTAAACTCTATGAAGAGGCTAACAACTCGTGAGGACTGGACTGGATGCAGAATTTACAGCTATAACATGTTTGTGTCATTCTCAGTATATGGATATGTCTCATGTGAAAACTCAGAACCTCCAGAACTCCTTCCCTGAGCTGTAGAAGCTGCACTAGCACTGACTCATGATTGGCTGAAGGTGCTAGGGTTTAGGTAGTGACCATTCAGATCAGAGAAAGACATTTTATTACATTTCATTTCAACTGGATTTCAGCTCACATGTGAGTCTCTCTTCCTCTCTTCTGCTTTCTGATTGGATATCTATTCCAAAACACCAAATTAATATAAATAAATGTGACATCCATGTCCAGTGCTTTTGTAGCTAAGAATAAATCAGCATTATATTTGTTAGAATTTGATTTGAACATGTTTAGCTCATATCTGAGGAAACAGATCTGTCATGTTGATAAAAAAACATACAGTTACATTAAAATAAAATCTGACTAATGTAAAACTAATCTAAACAGTGTGAGAGACTGACCTCGTTGGTCTGTCCGTTGTCGTCACATCCTCCAAAGATGAACAGGACTCCATTGAGGCAGCAGCCACAGCTCCCGGACATGGAGGGTGGGACTTCTCCTGGAGTGTGCAAGACCCTCCTAAACACAAGACCAGGTGTAAATAAAGTACATGTCCACCCGCAGCACTGTATCCTATGAATACTTTAAATGACACTAATATATTCTTACTATGTAGTTTTTTGTTGCGGTCTGTTCAGCTATAGGTATTTGTCTGGAGAATCTGGTTGAACTAGACACATAAGTGGACGGTGCTATACTGAGCAACATGGTCCTGTGAACAGTCTCGTCTAAGATCCTTCCTCCAACTGTCAGAGGGCTGTTTAACCAGGCGTCTACAAAGTTAAATTCAGGTATATATTAAAACATACAAACTACAACATACAGCTACATCATAACATGCGTAGCAGTGGTTTTCTCGTCACTGTGGACTAAAAGATAGACGATGATAGATATATGATTCATTTGGATAATAACAATGTAGTTGTTTTGACGGCAGCACTCACCACACGCCTCGGTCTAAGTCATACTCCCAGAGCTCATCATTGGGCAGGAACACCTCATCATCTCCAACCGACTGTGGACAGATACACATGTGATCACAGGTTCACACGTCCACACTGCACCTGGCCCTGTTTTCATCTGGCCCCCTGTAAGTTTTTCATAATAAACATAATAGAATAGTAATAGATGATAGTGGCTCATACTTAATATAAGATTTGCTTGTTACACCAATTATCTTGTTGGTCCTTATGCCTGAATTCGAATGTACCCTCAGTGTAGTGGCCAACAAATATGTTAAGGGTCCTATAGTACATAAAATTTAAGTTTTAGCTATGCTATAATGTTGTTATCTCATCAGAAAACATGTTTTGTTCATGAGTAATCCTTTATTATTAGTCTGTCTACTTCTCCAATGCTCAAAATTGCCCAGATTGTGATGTTATTAAGTGTTTTTTAGTTTTTTTTCATGTTAACAGCTGCTTTTACCTTTTGTTCAGTAAACAATGGCAATTCCAGGGTTGAAATGCTTAAAATTATTCTAGTGAAGGTGTATGAAGTTACACAGGACTTTCTGTATTACCACATGTCTGTTTGAGAGAAAAGATCTCAGCCTAAATATAAGATTTGTGTTTTAAACTTGTGTGAATGAAACAAAACACAATTCCAGGTCTGTTTGTGACGAGGAAACAACTTTATAACAATCAGAAAATAGTGTAATATGGGCCCTTTAAGTGACTAAATGTAAAGTTGAATTTAGGATACAATAATGTTATTAGTATGTTGCTTTATTTTTTATTTTATTTCGCTATGGGGAACTATTGGTCTTGGTTTAGTCCTAGTCTTCTGAGTTGTTTTCATCTTGCAGGTTTAGAGTTGTTTTAGGTCAAGGTCAAATGTACTGGTATGTACAATTACCCCACCTGTTCAAAACGCAGTGAAGCCAAAGGAAACAAACAATAGAATAAAAAATATAGGAGCTAAGTCAAACTACGCATTCGGTCAGTGACAAAGACAGTTTACTTTTCATGTAGCCCTTGTTCAGAACTGCTTAAAATACATATGACCTAATGTTCTGTGAGATGATACCTGCGGTAAATATTTCTCAAAGTTTTAAAACATTCACGTGGCATTTTTGTATAAAAGCTGTAAAATTTAGGTAGTGTTAAGTTCTAAAAGGAATCCTCTTCCATCTACTAGTCTGTCACAATACAATACACCACATTACATCCAAAATGCTGTCCCACCCAAGTCTGAACTGGGGAAAAAACAAGAAAACCTGCCATGTGTACACTTTAAATCCTGGTTTAGTCTACATTCAATATGCAAACTGTGCAGATCTCTGGACAGCCCTGATTGCACTGCATTGCATCCATTACCATGTATCCTCCCCACACATAGAGCAGGTTGTTGTGCAGAACAGCCGTGTGTCCGCTCCTCTCCCGGGCCACCAGCTCCAGACACTGCCTATCCAGCGCACGGTCCATGACGAGCTGCTAAAAATAGACAGAAAAAAATAGGAAATCCATCATTTAACCTACATAACTAAAAAATGTCACTAGTTTTAGCTTCGATCACAAACGCACACAGTTATGTCCTAACCCCTGACCGCACTTCCCACTCCCCTTACATGTTTGTTTTCGCAAAGCATGCATTTATTATTCTAGGCACATTTTAGGTTTGTCGCAGCGATCGCGGCATATTTCGCGAATGAAACGGTGGCATGTTATAACAAACACATACTTACACTTGAAATGGAAGCGTGCGTCAGTGTTTCGTGTTCACATTCCGTGTCATAACTGTGTAATACGCCAAAAAGTGCCAGAAAAACCTTGAACCTGTGTTGTAAACAAATGCAACGTCAACACGGGCTGTTTCCGCTCTGTGTAATTTCAAAATAAAACACGGGTCAATTAAAATCGTAATATTTTGAAGATTTATTTACTAAAAGCGATGAAAAACCTTTACCTATTTTAGATTTAATTTCATATTTACAGTGTTTTATGTATTTTGGTGGGTTTTTTGGACAAATTTTAGGCGTAAAGACGGAACATACTTTTATTTTGATGATGTCGTATACAACGAGGCAAAATAGCTTAAAATTGATAAAAATTTACGTACGTTCTCTTAGATATATAATGTATTCAAAAATATACTCGTAATAGTGATAATAAACGCAAACAACTTAAGAATAAACATTAAATCTATTGTTTTTTGTAGTTTTACGAGTAGCGGAAGTGACGGCGGAAATGCGGAAGAACATCTGTCATTTAGCGCCAAAGCTTGAGCTGCACAGACACAACAGTAAACATGGAGGTGGCTCGGAAAATCAAGAATAAAGTTACCGCAGGATTCAAGATGCGCGGACTTATACTCCGTCCGTACGTATTGTCTTTGTCCTCAGATGGTTTTGTCTTATCATGTCACGAAAAGTGCAGTGAAAGTGTGATTTGCGTGTGTTTAGTTGTGAGTCATGGGCATAGACTGTGTATGTGTCCACATCAGGACCTTATTATACCTTTATTATATTTGAAATTAAGAGAAAACATTATTGTAATGTTTTTATTGTGCTTCCTAGGTCGATTAGTGGAACTAGTTTTTATGTTTTGTTATTATATCAACAACGCAATATGCATGTTGTCTTTACTATTTGTCATTAGTTAAATGCATGAACTGTGTGATGAATTATGATTAGAATTAAAATGTTGATTCACTCATTTATGCATGGCAGCTTTTTAATCCCATTGGTCATCGGAAAAGCTATGTTATGTTAGGTTGTTCTTGTGGATAGACTTTAAAGGTGCGATTTGTAACTTTTCTAGAGGAGTGTCCTCTACTTTCTTGTCTCCATTGACATGATATTGCTTGGCGTGGAGTGGAATGTATATCATGGAAATTGCAGCCAGGTGTTTAATTGTTAAAATACAATGATCATGGATAGTGTATGGGGTGTCCTCTCCACAGATCTAACATGTACCTAGGTGTGGCCTAGTAATTGTACGTATAAATACCAAAAAATCATCAAAATACAGCAATTTTAGCTCAACTTCAGATTGTTTCTGAATAAATTCTAGTTCCTTTAGTTTCAGTCTAAAGTGTATTTTTCTTCTCATCTTTTAAACTGTGACCCTTTAATCCAGTGGTGCTTATGGTTAAACTCACATGTCCCATTGTGTATTTGATATGGCTCTACTGTGTAGCTGCAAATGATAAAAAAGATATATATAATATTGTGATTATGTTTGTTTGTTTGTTTTTTGTAAGCAATACACAAAATTGGAAAATCAAGTGAATAATTTATTTTTTAAAAACCCAGCAAAAAGAGCTGACTGAAAATGAAAATTTACAACATGTTTTTCCCTAGTAAGGGTATAAGTAATATTATTTAGATAATTCTATGTAATTTCTTATTAGTGGAATACTTGCTAATGCATCCACATTTCAGATGATGTCATCTGTTGGCACCATTTCCTTACGACCTCTTGTATATAACTGTGACATACTGTATTTATATTACAATGTTTGTGTTTTACTTTCTGTACATACATATATTTATATAATTTATGTCTTATTGATACCAGTTTTATTGCTTCTTATTTAGAAGTTTATTCTAAGTTTTTATATATCTAATCTAATCCAATCCAATCCAAAAAATATTGAGAATGAGATCTCCTTTTTGATCCTGTTGTTGTCCATAGTGAGGCGAGCCGGTACCTGGTGGAGGTGCTGGAGTCTGTGGACGTGTCGGAGCTGGATGACATCATCGAGAGGGTGCTGGACGCAGTGGAGAAGCAGCCGCGTACGTAACACACGAGACTGATATAACATGGACGATGTTTCACTGGTGTATGATCACAGACACACATGATGTTTTTATACTTTTAGAGGAGCGAAACACTTTTTAAGATGATGTTTTTGAAGTAGATTTGTGTTAAAGCTGAATTTCCACAGACAACTGATTAACCAAATAGACTCAAATAAAAGCATGTTTTATATTGCACTGCAAAACAAAAGAAAATGTGTGATTTAATGAATATGCACTTTGTTTGTAATTCTTAATTCTAGAAGTCTCCAGATTAACTCTTCTGACTGGTTCAATGTGTGTTTAAAAATGTGAATATACAATAGAAAAAAGTAGTTTGACTTGTCAACAAATAAAAAAAATGGTCTAAAATAGAATTAACTACTAAAATAATGGTAGTTGCAGCCCGAGTCTCTTCACAGATGATTTTAGAATAACTGCTTATCATTGGAAACTTTTCTTTAATTCTGTTATTCTCTTCTTCTTTTCCGTGTCAGTGTCGTCCAGTATGATCGAGCTGTCTGTGCTGGAGAGTGCAGTGCAGGATTGTACTTCGTCCTGTAATGAAGCCATGTAAGAACTGTGCATTCATGGATTTCTTTATAACCAGCTGTTCCATTAAAAACAACCATAATGACTGTGTATTTGATTTCTACAGAGACAACGTGTTTAACATCATCGGAGCATACGATGTGCCACGATACATTTACAGTGTAGAGCGAAAGAAGTTTATCCCGTAAGTTTTTTTTTCCATAAACCAATTCATGATTAAAAACAAGCAGGATACTAAATACATACTAGTTAAGATCCTTTTTAAATATCATAAAACTCTTTTTATGATTTAAAAAAAAAAAAAAACATTTTCTGGTTGATTTAATTTATCCATCTTTTATTTGCACATGTTTTCAGTACACAAAAATACACAGATTTGACTTTTAACTTGGTGATGTATATTTAAAATGCCATATTGTGGAGTATTCCTTGCAAAAACATCATCACAGAAACAAGCCAGTGGTGTCCCTCCTTGAAAAAAGTATTTTTTAGTCTTCTACTAATTAAAGTGTCAAGAAAAGGCCACATTTTGTCAATTTATGTATGTTTTTTTATGTATTTTGTATGTTTATTTTGTATGTTTTATGTATTGATATTTGCTCAAATTAATATCTACTTATATATTTAAGACAATTCTAGTTTCTT